GATCATTTTGACCCCACGGGATGAGATCTTGCAACCGAGGGAGATTATCAGTGGTCTTGTGTGTCTTCCATTTTCTGATAAATGCTCCCACAGTTGATTTGTTCACACCAAGCTGCTTGCCTATTGTAGATTTACTCTTCCCAGTCTGGTGCAGGTCTACAATTCTTTTCCTGGTGTCCTTCGACAGCTCTTTGGTCTTGGCCATAGTGAAGTTTGGAGTCTAAAAATGGTATAGTGTATAAAGCAACGTCTCACTGATAGATCAGAATATCTTTTTCATCAAGGGAGTCCTGGCCCCAGAGAGAGGGAGTGGATTTGTTTAGTGGTTGGGGAAACCGGAGCACCTGGAAAAACCTACGCAAACTCCATCCAGAAAGGCCTTGTCTGGAGGTGGAATCAAATACATGACATTCTTGCAGCGAAGCAAGAGTGCCAACATGTAAATAAAATGTATATGTTAATATTATAAGCCTATAACCAGAAAACTACTTTATAATACAATGAATACACATAATGACAATTAATCAAGTTTTCTGGAAACAATTAGATTTTTATTGTTATAGAGAAATTTACAAAATGTGCGATTCCCTCAAATACTTCAAAAATGTTTTCACAATTTTAGACAACCAAACACCGACAATATAACAAAATCAAGTACCTTGGCATGAGGAAAACGGTTTTAACGGATGAAATGTGCAGCAAATGCAGATTCAGTCTTAGTAGAAATGGTAGTGCATTTTGTGAAGGCTTCATAGTGAAATGAAAAGACACGGTTTTAGCCTGAGGTTGTCAAGGTGATTGCCAAGAGAAAGACAAAATATTTCTAACAATAAATTCAAGATAGAAAAGCAGTGATTTGTACCATCCACGCTCCAAATGCCACTCACACAACCATCCAGCATCAGACACAACATGGTCCCATAAAAACAAAGTAACACCGGCCCTTTGATCCAGTCTGCTAATCCCAACAGTCATTATTGGCACCAACTGGGATTATTGAGGGAAAATGCACTCAATTTAAGTTAATAAAGTGGATTATTGTGGAGAAAGTACATCATTTCATTAGTTAATCGTCAAGGGAACAGCAATGTGGAGGTGGATAATATGAAGAGCCCATAGAAGAGTAGAGTGCTACCTATTGCTGTTGAATATTTGCATTTCTTTAAATTAACTACTGAAATAATGACGTTTCCACATAATATCCGCACATGTAATTTGCATTTTGGTCAGCTAAATAAGTAACCTTTGTGCATTATAATTATTCCTAAAACTTCTATACCTTTTTTTTTCAATATATATTCTAATCTATGCATTTTACTTTAAACACCGCTACTACACAACCCCTCAAATCACAATGAAAACAAGACACAAATTCAAGTCATAAACAACATTTTAAAAACTTTGTAAAGAATAACATTTACAACCCAAACCTCATAAGGGCTGATGTTTTTTTTTCTCCCCCGGGTCGACAGTTTTTCCAGGGTTTCGGATAGATTCCTATAAGTTCAATAATGTGCTTTAGATTCATTCAATTGAAGGGATGAGGAATCTCGTGCGTAGGTTAAGCAGCTACTTTATAATATTTGTTCACATAGACATACGATTATGACCACTTGTCCAATATAAAGGCTATCAAACAATGTGATGTACAATAATCAACTTCAACTTTAATTTTTACTTTATATTATCCATTTTTGGTTATTTTCTCCTTTTCTCTAATTTTTTGTTAAAATAACTGCTTGTACTTTCTGTTGAATGTTTATTGATTATTGTATGACTGCAAAAGAACTAATAAAACCAAAAAAAAAAAAATATTTAATCAACCTTTACTTTAACCAGCATAAAGGCATGTGCAGGATGATATGCAGAGTTTTCAAAGAGGAGGAGTCCATTGTACATGTTTTTAGTGGTAAGGAAAATGACACTGGGAGAACACGCAAACTCCACTTAAAAACGCATGTGCCGCCTGGGAGCCGAACCCAAGACTGTCTTGGTGTGAGGCGAGGGCACAAACCACCTAAGCCTATAAAGTTGCAGTTTCCTGTACACAATGTGCTATATAAATAACTTAACCACCGCTCCTTCCCAGTAAAAAAGGTCTGAGTGGAGGACAAATCTTGACTACAAAAATCAATTCAGTATTTTTCACATATCTCATTTCTGAAGGAATTTAAAGCTACGCTCTAACTTTCCAGATGGGGGTTCCTGCTTGTTACCATGGTGACTGTTTCCTTGGAATGTACCACAGTATAGCTTCAAACGCAGATGCATTTACTTTCCAAAAACATGGTCAATGACAGATCAAAACAAACTGAGATTGATCCATTTGAGGAAGATATTGTGATTATGTTTTTTGTCTTTCCCAGCAGTAGCCTGGGGGCGGTGTGGGAGCTGCGACGGCGACAAAAGCGATGCATATTTAAATTGCATTTCAGACAAGTGGTCATAATTCAGTCTACTGTATTGTAAAACAGGATGTAAACTCACCCATTTCTATCATCAAGCTGTTTTCCATCAACATTGCGGCAAATGACGACCAGAAATAAAATACAATAATTATCCATGTGTTGAGTTATATATTTCGGAATACCCCTCACAGAGAATAAAATCTCCTTTAACACGTGGGAATGAGCAGCTACTCTGGTTTAAATACAAAGTCACGTACAAAAAAAGCAAAGTCAGACTGCACGGGTTTGGAGTGTTGGAGGCAAAAGTGCATATCACAGATTTCGGCGTTTATGTTTAAGATATAAATGGTAGTTTAACGTCAGTAAAGTCACAGGTTATGAGGGGAATAAATAACTACCAGTAAACACTATTCTAATTTTCCAACTAAAAAAAAAATTGAAGTGTGTTCAAAAGTTTATTCATTTCTGTAAATTATCTTAAAATGTGAAACAAAAATATGATATGGACTCATTAAAGTGATCTGTAAATTTTACATTTTAACTTGAATATTCTAACTTTCTGAAGGTTGTATTTTGGGTATTTACAAGCCACAATTATCGACATTTTAAGAAATAAAGTTGAGAGATGTCATAAATTAGGTTTCACATTGTAAGTTGAATTACAAAAGTAAATGGACAATATTGTAATTTTCCGAGTTTCACCAAAAGTACTGTAGCATCTGGTGACATCACACAAGGGAAATTCACATTTCATCCTAAATTCCTCCACACTTTTACATCACGTCATTGATTAACTAAACTAAATAAAAGTACAGTACTTGCTGGACTAAAAAAGTTATTTAAACTCTGTGGCCTATGTCGCGATGCAGCCAATGCCTGAGGTGCAGAACAGTTTTGGACACAGCTCTATCAGCTGTTAATCCCTGGAGCTGATGATGTAGCACACATTCCTGCTTCCCAGTGTGTTTATGTGAACAGCAGAGAGCAGCCATAACAACATGCAAGGAAATACACAGGACATGCTTATATGTGATTCTTTTAGGGACGTCAAAAATTGTAAAAACAGTAGTCCATCAGTTTTGTTTTCTTTCTTCAGCTGTTGATTAAGTGGTTCATTTCTTTGCTTTTTTTAATGATTATTTATTGATTATTAAAACATGGAGGCTTATACAAGTTCAGCTTAAATGTGGACAAAATGTACTTTCTTTTCAAATGTATCTGGTGCGGTTTATATACAGGTGCACTTGGTAGTCGAGCAAGTACTGTACATGAATATTGAAATTGGTCTGATAATAATTTCTGAAACACTGGACCAGTTTAACAAAATGGTCACATCCTGGTCCTTAGCATGATGTCATCGTCGACAACCATGAAGTAACAATATAAATGGGGGAGAAGAGGGATTTTTTAAATTCTGTGTGCAAAATCTTAAGTATAATAATGTCAAACCATGTGTATAAAGTATAGTCAAACCTGTCATATGCACTTTACCTTTTAATTCGCACCATAGATAAAACTTCATATCCTGCTGTAGCGATAACAGTCTTTATACGCTCCGTCTTTTTCCAAACAAAGGGGAACGGTTGAAGAAATTGCCAGTGGATCTAGTTAAAAATAATGTTGGCAGATCCTTGGGGGGCGAGGAAAGGCTTTAAAAACTGGCACAAAAACTGACAACAATGTCCATTTTGTTCTCGCATGACACATCCGGCCGCAAACAGCGACAGAAATGTATCGAAAGACATCAAATAAGGCTTTGCCAGTTCGTCCCCGTGAACGAGAATAGTCCGATCTATCAAATAAGTTAATAAGGTGTTTGTTTTTTTTTGTTTCTTTTTTACTATATCTATATTGATAATGGGGATTTTAGGGCTATTTATGTACAATAAAGTGAGGGACAGTAAAAGGCACACATTTAGACAGCCGTTACAAAGTTATAAATAAACGAAAAGTTCAAGAGTAGTGTGTGCGTCTGTGCTTTTGATTCGTAGGAAAGTGTTCTTCTCCGCAGCGATTTCATAGTTTAGCGCTCGAGGGCTCTTTTCACAAATGTTTAGCAAATGTCCAGCATGGGGTTCTACGCATCAGGCATGGGACAAGAGACGAGGCAAGAAAAATGCTGGGAATTTGTTCTGAGATTATTGTATATACACAGTATCTAAATGTGTTTCCAAAAATTTGCATTGATAAAATCTATAAGACAAGACAACCTGGAAACTTCCAATGTATTTTTAAAAGGCATAAGATTTTCTACCTATAGAGAAATCAAATGTAATAAATAACAGTAGATGGGAAGAATAATATATTGCTTTCTATTTTGTAACATGGATCAATCTGAAATGAATGCTTTAATATATTACATAAGTCTGAATTTATTTATAACTTATTATTAGAGAAAGGAAAATTACCCTCGCTCGCCCTGATGTCCTGATATGTAATTTTATCTTATTTGAAGAAAGAAGTTATATACTAACTTTTTTCTATTTAAAGGACGAGTGTGCTGGACCTCCACATGAGTTTTTTTAGTGTATATATGTTGTTAGCTACTTCCCAACACTGGTCATGAGGACACTTTTCTTACATTAGACTCACTGTACCATGCCTGTCTGCAGCTGTCCCATTATCCACTGCAAAAATGTATATAAAATAAACTGGAAAAAATGCTTGAATTGTGCTACATTTATCTTAATTTGAGAATACCATAGGTTTCTCATATATGTTTGTTCCATTGGGATATTTTTAGCAGATCTTTTGACACCTCAATATCTAGGGTTGATTTTGACACAAGTTAACATGTATTTTCAGATTACTAGTATTCCTGTTACAAGTTTTAGCTATAAACACCACACTCAATATTCAAATTGTGTGATATTACACATTTGTTTATACATTGCCCTAAACAAATCAAGATAAAACTACAAACTCCAAGCACTTTTCAGCTTATTTTGTGTGTGTGTGTGTTTTTTTGCAGTGACAGCCTCAGATGATGTCCACAAAGCTGCCGGGGAAGAGCCCTGTGCGGCCGTTCCTCTGCAGAGTGCCTTTGAACCAGCCGTCCTCTCGTTTCCGGTGAACAAACACGATGTCGCCCTCTTTCAGCTCCAGCTCGGCTTCGCTCTGGGGCGGATATGACACCACCACGCGGTACCTGCCCCAGGACACACACACACACACACACAAACAGTGAGCCACAACAAAGGTACATCAGGGAGATAGAGTTACAGTTTCAGTGCACAGGGCAGAGCAGAACAATGACACGAAACCAACGGCATAACTAAAAGTCCTGACGCAGATACTTCAAACCAATACCCCTCTCTCGCTGGGGCCCCTTATGTCCTTGTTTTTCAGTCTGGTTTGTTTTTTCTTTATTGGTGAGGATTTGTAGACATCCAGACGAATAACATTAAACATTTAAAACGAGATAAAGTTGGACTAAGTTTTTAATTAATTGTATCCTGACCGTTCTAACGCCTATTCTTACCGGGCTTCTTATATACAAGTACAACCGTGTTTATGAGATGCACTGTAAAAAAAGAGAAAACAAAAAAAGCTAGGAAAGGCTTGAATCAATTGAAATCAGAAAGCACAAAAAATGGCTAAAAGGCATTGTCAAGTCTTTAAAGTAGCAGTATGTAATATTTGCATGTCAAGTCATCATTAAATGGCCCCCATATTTCAAAAGGCGTTCTTTTCGAATACACCTTTAACTGATAACAGTAGTTCAGCCGAGATATTTGAATATCAAAATTAGTTTTACGACCCGTAAAAGTTGTTATTGTTTTGATTTTTTTATGCCCTGCCCTCCGCCGTTTCACCAATCAGGAAGTGTCATGTAAGTCCGTGATCGGGTTGCCAGAACTCCGCGCGGCTCATTAATCTCAGTGGTAAAATAACATGTGGCGCAGAACTAAAAAAGGTCTTGCTATGACTCTCAAATAATTAATGACAAAACAAAGGCTAAAACGAGGATTTATATCGGGACGCCTTTGAACAATTGAGACAGCTGATAAGTTTACGTGTGATGCAAAATTTGCTGCTTTGACTCCGTTCTTCAGAGCAGTCTTTACCGCGTGAACCGGTGGTCTGGAGGTTTAACCTACGCGCTCTCAATGAAGTAACGTGGGTTTGATGCTGGGCAGAGTCTTTTTGTATTGATTGCATGTTATCACATTCTATGACAGATTGCTCTAAAAATGGTAAAAGACGAAGGTCAAGACATTTTTTTGCAGATTATAGCTTAATTATAAAAATAATAATTTAAGACCACATGTACCCCAATTAAAATAATGTTAGCCTCCTTTTGATGTGGGACTTATACATGTTTGTCTAAAAAATAGGGAATAAATAAAATTGAAAGGTGATATCCTCTTGAGCAAGCCCTGATGTTGATACGCTGAAGAAATACATTCCGACATCCATTCTTCCCACTCCTATTTTGGACATCAATTGCTTATTTATTTTGGATAATCTATAATTACATTGCTTTTATATTGTTTTGTGTTTTTTATCTCAAATGTCCAAATAAAAAAATTAAAATAAACATTCATTCAACATTAGCACGGCACATGGCAATGTGAATGGAGACAGACAAACAACTGATGAAATAATTCCCTGTGTTTGCTGCTGGATTTGGTGTGTATCTGGCAACCTGAGTCAGGGAGAGTGGGAGAGGACTACAAAATATTGACTGTGACTGCAGTACCACTTTGGCCAGATTTTTACATATTGTTCCTTTAAGATTTAAGATTGCCAATGTTTGCTCAAATCAAAATACATGTACCCTAGCTCGAGGGTTAGGGTTATTTTTGACAGTGTTGTGCCAATTCACAGCTTTTCTGAACTAGTTCAAGTTCAGTTCATACATGCTCAAAGTGAACAGTTCACGTTCAAAGTTCACATTTTTAATTCTGAACTAGTTCAAAGTTCAGTTCATTTTACTTTTTTTGTGAGATACTTAAATACATATGTTTTTCACACTACGAGCTATATAATATATATATATATATATATATATAATCTCCTGTACACCCACAGGAGGAGAGCCTTTTGACTACAAATCAGACTACATGGTTTTCAATGGGAGCCAAACGGAGTTGCTCCATCTCTGCTCATAAACTACAGACCGTAATGCGCTGTAGTGCGTGTGTCTATACTTTATGTCAAATGTAAACGGTATAAACTTTGTCGCTAACTCACCCTGTGTTTTCATCACGACTCGGGCACATGTGAAAAGCACCAGCTCACAGCGCCGCACCGCAACACAGAGTCGGGGTGCGTTCACAGACGGTGGAAACCGTAGGAATGTTTAGATTTTGGCGGAAAAAGTGCGAGAATACAGGAGGGAGGAACTTTCTCTCGTTGCGTTTTAAAAGAGAAAACAGATTCCAATGTTCATAGTGATGTCTGCCGTTCATGACACATAAAATGAACTAATTCACGTTCGTAAAAAATGTGTTGCGTTCAACGTTCACGAAAAAATGAGCGTGTCTAATGAACGCGTTCTTTTGAACAACACAACACTGATTTTTGACTTGCTTTGAGCTGCACTCAACCAGACTCTTGAGGAGGCCAGAGTGTAGCACAACCAAAACATGTACAAAAAAGTGTAATTTATAAATCAAAATTCATGTAATCAGACAGAAATTCAAATACTGGTAATCAGGCAAAATGGTATCTTGTCTCTTCCGCAGTCTTTCTTTTAAACACTTATTTTCCTGATATTCAAAACTTGGAATGGTCTTCCCACAGCCCTATAGCCCTGTTACTTTCAATGCATTTTATTTCCGTCTTTGTAAAAAATAAAACTATTCGTACAGACTGACGTGAGTTTAATCATTTGCAGTTATTGATGCAGTAATGACGGCGACAGGCTGAACTGTGGAGCGCACCTTTCACAGATGATGGGCCGTGCGTCATGTTGCTGAGATGACAGAGAGGAGCAGGGCTGTCGGGGCGGGGGGGCAATGGGTGCATACACCTCCAGAGGGGCGGGTTTGCGATGGGACAGTTCCGGGACAGACGAGGAGGGTTCGGTCTCCGTGGTTACGCCCTGGGCCGTGTCTGGAGCCCCGGCCCCCTGCAGCAGGTCTCCCCCGACCTCAGTGTCCAGCGTGGGCGACGAGGGAGGGGAGGGCCGCGACTTCTTCTTATTCGACAGCAGCTTCAGTAGACTCTTCTTTTCCCTCTGCAGGAGGCATGTTGTTTACACATTAGACTTGAGTAAAGATAAATTAAAGCCGAGGAACCCAATTTTTTTGAACAGCATACGTGCAATAAAAAGCCCCGGGTCATTATGAGCAAAAATGGTCCACTCTTTTTCTATAAACTGTATATACGTAGATGGTAGGGATGTAAATCGGCGACCGTTTAACCGGTGGTTGACCGTCACAGCGTTAACCGGTCAAAGTTGTCGGTTAAAAAAGAGAAAAAGGGGAGAGGGGAGGTCTCTTAATAACGCTATTTTAAGCCCTATTTGCACGGTGTGACGAGCGGGTCTGTATCTAGCTGTGTGCGCCCATGTATTATAAACTCCGGGACGACTCTCACGCCGCACGAGCCACATACGCACACACGCACGCGTGCACACACACACACATACACACTTTCCCCCTCTCCATACGTAACATCCACACGCATCATCTCTCCCCTCTGTTACCGTCAAAGTTGCACACTGGCGCGGGTCAGAACTACATTGGAGCTTACATTTACACACACACACATATACACACACACATACACACATACATACACACACACATATACATACACACACACACATACATACACACACACATACCGGTCTGTCGCGCTCCTCTGTGTCACGGAGCCCAAAGGATTCGCGCAAATACGCGGCTCCAGTCAAACCACATGGGACATGTTTGTGTTTATGGTCCTCGGGATCAGCTCCACACACATCACTTGTATTTAAACTTTTGTGAAGACCTGTGAGACGCGGCTCGTCACTCGCTGCTCTGACCATGTGAACGAGCCGTCGTTTGCTGCTAGAAAGTTTTGGTATTAACCCGCAGCACAGCAGAATGGGAAGATTAAAAAAGCAGTTCTCTGTGCGCAAAGGTGCCGGAGCTGTTGCGGGTTTTGGCGCCGCTGTCTCGGCTCTGATCCAGTAGAACGCAGAGCTGCACTTATGAAAAGTACGCGGCTCGAAATGGCTGTTATTTCAAAGAACGTGGACTATTTTAAACTACGCGGTTAACCGGTTTCAACCGGTTAATGAGGCTTGGTGGTCGGTCATGAAAATTCATAGTTTTTTACATCCCTAGTAGATGGACAAATGCTCATATAAAGAAATTGGTTCCAACTATTGATTCCAGCTAGCAAAAGTTAAACAATTTATTCTTCCGCAATTAGCATAGTCTAATGCTAATGGGTGACATTAGCACTCGTTTATTCCACTCCCCACTTAATCCAAATATGATCTTAAGATGTAACTAAAAAGGCAAATATACAAACATGTGAAAACTAGTGATCGAGCCAAAGTGTTTGGAGAGTAAGGAATGACTTGGATCAGACATATTCAAACTAGGGCCACTCTGCCATCAGTGGGTAAGCAAGTCGGTGGGTCACATAAATTTACAGAAAGTAGCCATTGAGATCATTAACCCTTTAAGCGCCAGAGGTTTTTTACTAAAACACTCAATTTTGACATCTTAATTTCAAAAGGCTATAACTTAAAATTGATAAGAGATAAAGGCTTTCTGTAAATTAGGAAAATATTAAGGATGGTCCAAAGTTTATGTAGAGAATACATCCACCCATCTAATTTGCATATTATGACATAATATGGCGTTAAAAATAGTGGATTTTAAAATTTTCATATCATATTTTTATTTTTCTAACTGACATATATTGATCACTAGGACATGAACACACACAGAACTCACACTGTAACATAGCAAATGTTCAGGTGAATAGTAAAAAACACAAATTATGGTGCTGCTGTGAGCAGTCTGTCCAGACGCACGCCTCCAGGTGAAGCGCGTCACCGTGACCCTCCTGCTGCTGCTGTCTCCCCCGCTCTCTCATTTCCCCTGATCTCTCTCTCCTTTAACACACAAGACAAAGACTTCTCCAACACGTTACTGTCCCCGTGATTACGGGAGGCATGAAAATACGTCTGTGGGAAGCACTACTAGCGGAGATTTTAGTGGAGACTTCAGTGGAGACTTCAGTGGAGGCTGGAGGTCGCGGCGCGGCCCCCCGACACGAGTTCCAGGCTTGTTTTCCGCAAATCTAACCGGTCTCCGAACATCCCAATGACTGCACTGACTCTGAGAAACACTGTTCCCACTGCTGACTCTGTGCAAAGTGTCTAAAGTGTGAGTTTGGTGCGGTACAACACTCGCAGGCTGCCCTCGCAGCTGCACTGTTTCGCTATGTTTTCCGCTCTGATTCAACGTGATCTTGCTAAAATATTTTGTATGGCCCTCTTACCAATATATATGAACACCTCTGAGTTAGATAATATTACATCCTCCTAATTTACCAAGATTTATGCATGGTTATGTCAGCAGCATTCAAGCCTCAAGCAGTCCCTAATTTTCATAGCTAGCTTCACAGCAGTCATATTGGTAACCTTATAGGTAAGATTTCTATATATATACTATAAACGTTGTCATAATCATGTTTTAGTGAATTGTGTAGTTTATGGTGGATCGACAGCCCCACCTTGCCGTCCTTGTCTAGTCTGCTGGCCAGGCCGGCGCTGTTGGGAGCAGTGTTGTTGGGAGCAGCGGTGGGAGCAGAGCAGGGCCTCAGGGAGTCTCCATCCAGAGACGCTGCGCTGACATTGGGAGGGGTGAGCGAGGCAGTGGCACATCCCATCCCTACACCGCCCCGAGAGCAAGCCAATGCAGGGGGGGCGGCGGAGGGCAGGGTGCACATGGAGAGGTGAGGCAGGAAGGCTACAGATGTCCCGGACTGGAGCGGGGTTACAGACACGGGCGGCCGGTCCTGACTCTGAGCAGCCGCTGGTGATGGAAAGATCAATATTAAGGATGCATAACGATATCAGCCGCCATAATGGGAAAATTGTTCTCTAATTTAATCTGATAATTTCAACACAAAATACAGTGATTTCAACAGATTTTCTCTGAGAAGGCACCCAAAGAGAATGAAAAGCTTTTTTTTTACGTGTTTTGAGGAAAGTCACTTCCATGAAAGTAAATTAAACTTAAAAACTTAATGAGGAATTGGAAGACTTCTCTGCAGTGCTGTGAAAACGCACTAGGGCTGTTATGGACACAAATGATTCATTTTCATTATCAAACGTGCTTATATCAGTGGAAGGTTTGGCTCAAATGTAAACTGTTCATTCACGGTTTTTAGTCCAAAGGCAGTCTACAGTTTGAACGTTCTCCCTGTGTCTGAATAGGCTTGCTCTGGGTGCTACTGGGCTTGAACTGTCCCTCAGTATTATATAGAACTTTTGCATTATTTTATTTATTTAGTTTGTTTTACTGCTCAGAAACTCAAGCTGTTTTTACACTGGGTTGGCTCACCTTAGTGTAGTATTAATTGTTTTGCTTGTCCCTAAAGTGAAAGCTACAGTACATGCTGTAAGAAAGTAAGTCATCTTTATTTACAAACACTTAGATCCATCTAAATGTTTGTTTGGCTGATGTCATGACGTCATTATTGCTAAATTTTGTAATCAATGATAATCTTGGTAATAACTTGAAGGGTGACAATCTTTTAATTCTACTAGTTGTTGTAAAGGCATGTATGGTTTGCTTCACACCTGTGCGGACTGCATTGCGAGCCTGGTTCACAGTCATCTGCGAGGTGACGTGCATGGGGAGTTTGGGCTGCTGTCCCGTGGCTGTTTGGGACGAGCTGACTATGAGCGTGGGCTGAGGAGCAGAGGAGGCAGAGCTGGTGCACACCACCAGGGGTTTGGTGAAGTCTGGACCCGTAACGATGGCCCCCAGAGGAGCCGGAGAGGGGCTGACGATGGTGACTCCCCTCCCAGCCTGAGTGCACAGAGCCAGGGGCACTTTGGGCTGGCTGCTGCCGGACGCCGTTCTGTGGGAGACAAGAGATCATTTACAGCAGAGGTTTACCTATTTTGTCTTACATGTACAAGTACAGTGTAAACACGTAAAAAAATTTACTTTTTAAGCTAGTCAATTATTACTGATAAATGCACTTGATTTAAAAATAAATTCAACATGTGAAAAAAATAATATAAAAATTGATTCATTAATCATTAATGATTTAATAATGATGAACATTTATTAAATCCTTGATAATGAGCAAACATTTGTGTCGCAAGGGCGACGGTAGCTCAGTTGGTGGTCGTGGGTTCGATCCCACCACAACCCATGTCAACTGCTCCCACTGTTGTCTGTCTGCCGTTGTGTCCCTGGGCAAGACACTTAACCCCACATCGTCTGAAGCCCCCGCTGTCTATGACATGACATGACATGTGAAACCTTTAGGCAGCAGTTTTTATTTTTATTTTTATTTTTAAAACTTAACTCAAAAAGGTTGTGACATTTCAGACATATTTTTCCAACAAACGGCTTCAGGAATGCTATAGAGCTCATTTATATTTACAAAATGTAGTATCCCACCAAATCAGCACCAAACCCGTCGCCTGCACTTGAAGCATGATCGTTAGCTCTTGTCGTTAAGCAGTGCTCCCACCTGCTGACGGGGCTCATGTAGTTCCCAGGGAAGACTCCGATCTTCCCCGTGTGCATCGAGGTGCCTTTGAACCAGCCGTCCTGACACCGCTCCAGCACCAGGAACATCTCCCCCTTCCTCAGCTCCAGCTCGTCCTCTTTACGAGGCGTGTACGGGAACATGGCCACGTATCTGAAATGAGAAACAAGAACAAGATGGCATCAATCACAGACTGCACGAAGGCATTTTGAGCTCTGTGTGGCATTTTCTATACATCTGTAAAGGCTCAAATAAATCGTATTTGCTTTGTCTGTCTTTTAAGATGTAATCTATTATTCTGTGAAACCAACATCCGCAAATGAAACTATCAACTGGTTAACCCAAAAATTGTCATAGTTTTAGTGACACCAAGTCGTTCTGTTGCTACTTTAAGTCAAAAATAGCTATGACTGGGATTTGAGGCAAAAAAAATGCAGATATTGTATTGACGGAACAGGAAAACGTATCACTACTTTTAATTTCCGCAATAAAAAATAAAAAAGCTGTTTTAGGTGGCCTTTCAGAGTCAGTGGGGATTTTCATTTGTAACTTTTATTTTAAAAATTGATTACTTATAATAAAATCCAACATGATTAGAAGAATTAGGAGAGGAAATTTCCAGAACAATTTCAAGTAACAATGAGAATTATTAGGCAATCTTTTGGCAAATGAACAACTTTGTAAAGATCTCTGTGAAAACTCCTGTTGTGAATTAGGGCTACACAAAAATAAACTGAATTGAATTGAATTTACTGAGCCAAAAAAGCCTTAACAATAGTAACAGTATGGGGTTTGTTGACATATTAACCAATGCGAGATATGTACGGTAAAAACAACATATAGTACTGAAGTAAAACAAATGCTGTGATAACATTCTAGAATTTCTAATGCAGATCCAGTACTTAACAGGAACACATACCCAAGATGAACATACAGCAGTATAAGCATACACAGTTTCATATAAACAACAAAAAGACAAATAATACAGCTTTTTTATCTGTTAGTACATGTCCCCAGATTCTGTGTATGATGTGTGTGAGGCCTGCAGTCTGTGGCCTCTGACCCCAAGTGAAGAGCAACAAACTGGGGTCAACTCTCCAGCAGAAACAGGGGCCAGAGTAAAGTCGAAGTGTGCGTCAACATGTTGTGTCATTCATTGAGAGTTTTGTAGACAATGACAACACAGTGTAGTGATTGTGATATATCAAAACTGGAGGTCAGTGTCGTCTTACTCTTTGGACACTAAGGTGCATACATTATAATTATCAATCCAGGTTAACTTTATGTGTAAAGTAACTGGCAATGAAATAATTCTGATTCTGAAACAGTTACCAATTGGCTGTGAAATTACGTTATATCTGCATGTACTAGTAAGAGTACTGTAATATATAAAAAAGTATAATAAACAAGTAATGTCTTTATGTATATGTGTGCCATGAAGTCTTAAAATACTTGATTATGACGGGTTTCACTAAACTAAGGTTAGGGTTTTTGGACATTATGTGTTACTAACAAATACCTCCACCCTCATGTAACCTCACACGATGCAACATGCATTTAGGAGCCGTCATGCTAACACAGTCCACAGCGGGAGGCAGACACAGGACTGGATCTAATTCGCATCAGGTGTGTGGCATTGGTAATGAGGCTAAAGGGTCGACTGTCAGAGGTGAGACAGAGGAGCAGAGAGGGGCCCAAGGAGAGGCAGACGGGCCATGACCTCATCACCTGTGCGCTGGAATGTTCATGTGTTCAGATCATCAGTTTGGGCCATTCTTTCACCGCCTACCTGTTAGTCACGCCCATTGGATATCAAGGGGTCTTTACACAGTTTATTGTCAACGGTTCCAAGGCTGACCAGGCCAATCCTAATCTCTAAAACTGTCTCTTTGAGCTTGGTGTACAGCTACTGCTCCTCTACATTGGTAGAAGCCAGTTGAGTTGTCTTGGGCATCTGCTTTAGATGCTTCCCTGGAGATATATCCCACAGGCATGGGAAAACTTCCCTTGCTGAGGGCTGCATTGGAATATCATCCTGCTGTCAGGGACCGGACCTAGTTTCCAATGTTTTTCTTGGGCTTCATTTTTTTCACATAAATATATTATATATAGTATTCAATATTATATATCACGAAAGAGAAAGGGACTGCGGCTCCAGATCCCTGCATGCAGCACAGAAGGGTTTTATAGTCTTCATATTATAACTATATAAACTGAAGAGGGCTCAGGGCCCTGATAGAAATGTCCAAATGGCGACATCTGGCCCACGAGCCGGGGGTTGCCTACTAGACAGAGGAACATGCCCAGGACACACTGGAGGAACCATGTCTTTCGGCTGGAAGTATGGGCCACTCAGACTGCTTCCTATGCAACCCGGCAACGGAAAGTAAATGGATGGTAGTCCCCCAAATAAATACTAAAGATGTGTTTTTTGTGGCTCAGGTCTCCTGAAACTGAGGGGTTTCAAGCAGCCCCCTGCAACAGAAGTCTAGTGCTCTCTAACCTCAGGCGCTGAAGAGGAGCCTCACACCCAGCCAAAAACAAGTTGGTAAGAATTACAAAGAGGTGAAAAATATTTGAAAGCTAATCATCTTGTATAAACAGCTCTAATTCCTATGACGGCAACTTAAATACTTGGCGACATGCAAGGACAATGATAAACGCTTGTGGTACATGGCTGAAAATAAAACATGTCCAGGGCATAAATCTGCCAAGATCGGCCTAAATCAATGCATAACATGGACTAAAAAAAGTAGAAAAAGATAATAAACTGTGAGTGTCTATTGAACAACCTCGTGTGGCAGCCCCATGGAACTCTGAGCATGGAAACTACTCAAAGTTAAGAACACTTATTTTCTTAGATGCATAGAGGCACATTGATTTAATATATTTATAGTTTTTATGAGTGAGCAGATTACATAATGTGAATAAACGCATCATTAAGTTAACCAATATCATATCAATATAATAAAAAACAGCTGTGCAATGTACATTTTCTATGGTATTTAGAGCAGTCATAATGGAGGCTGCCTGTCATTTTCCAGTATGCATTAGCGCCTCCATCACAAAGTATACCCTGACACCTCACCGCTCGTATATTTAGGAAGAGCACATATTCGGGAGTGTTTTTATAGCTCACACTGTGGGTCTTTGTCTCCCGCTTTGGTCGCTGATGCTGGGGGAGGGCCTCTGTCCAGTGGCCAATGAGTAGGCAGCTCCAGCAGACGACTGTGGGGGTGGAGGGGGCGGGGGTGGCAGAGCATCCTGGGAAAATATGACAAAAAGGGAAAATGAAATTAACTGTGTTTTGTAAACATTTGTTTTGGTCTGCCAGATTTCAATCAGAGCTTTCCAATAATGTCAATGGGCCCCATATGTCAACATAACATGCAATGACGAGTTTAGAGTTTATGATTGTATAATGTTGGTCCATTGCATTGGTGGAAATTATTTTGAGTTTTAGGCACATGTGGCACTTCAAACTGTGGTGTTGATGCGCCATACCAATAAACTAGCAGCTGTTCTCTGTGACAATAACAACAAATGGGAATCTTGAGTGATGCAATGGTTTTGAACAACCTCATTATTATTATGTATATTTAACACACACTGCTAACCAAGCAAACATGACCAGTTCAAAATGTGATTGTTTGACATGAAGACATAGACATAGCTAAGTTTTATGATTTTACATCTCCATCATCATAATTTTCTTAAAGTGATTGTCTGGAGTTTGTCAGAAAAAAGAGGTACATGGTTTGACCCAAGCTCCTCCCCCTTCCTTTTAGATTGGTCTACGCCTACATTTCCGTAACAATCAATCAACACATTTAAATGTTAATCGGAGAACACATTATACATATACATTATTAATACACATGTACGGAGGTTTTCAGAATTATTTGTTAACGTTTTCATGACAATAATAATGTTTTAATGCACAAAAAAAGCGATAGTGGTAATCCCGGCAGTAGCTATGTAGTAGTAGTAACATGAATTGAACATTAAAGGAAACATCTCCAGAGGATCTGATTATGGATATAGGTTCATTATATAAATGGGTAACTCAGCGCGGATGTTCAGAATTCTTTGCTCAGTTTTCATGTAGTTTCAGAGCCTAATGGAGGCTGAGCATGAGCAGCTACGAGCATCAGCGCGATGATTGACAGCCCTTGGCATCACTTGGTTGGTTAAACTGGACGGCATCGTGGATTTTGAGCTATAGCTAAGAGAAGGGAAGGCGGGACTTACCCGTAATATTAGAATTCATAAAATGACTAATTTTATATCAACATTTAAGGCCAGGAGGTCAATTTAATACAATTCTTAACATTTGTAATTCATTTAGAGTTCCAGACTATCACTTTAAGAGAACAGCATCACTTGGGAAGGTTGAACACTTTCAATTCTCACACTAATTAAACATTATATTTGCAGACAAAAGCAGCAGCTCGGCCTAAAGGAAAACAATGGCGTGTCGTGTGTAAGTGGGGAAACCAGAATGTTTACAGCAACAAGAGCCGGGGAGAGAGGCTCATCTGTTATCTGGGCTTGTTCCTCCAGTCTGCACACAAAGTCGTGGTTTGGCAGACGCTATCAACTTGTCCCCGACTTCCACTCAGCGCTGAGAATCCGAGTATTTGTTTGCTGCTAGGAAACCACCGTGCAAAACGTTTAAGCCATTTCTGAAAATTTAATTGGAAACGTATGAAGCAAAAAAACATGTCACTAAAACAGATCCTGGCAGATTTATCTTGACTCATTCGTTTATCCGCAGTTGAATGAGCACTATGTCAAAGGAGTTTTGTGTTTTTTGCCCAAAGGGAAATATTCGTGCCATTGCTTTGGTTTTGAATCAGAGGGATTAGCATGTAGTCAGTCTAAGCTAGCATAAAGCATAAGAAAACACCACGGGGTGAAGAGGACAGCAGCTAAAGAGCAAGATCTTTCCATGCAGACATTGTATTTAAAGCTGTGGCACCAAACTTTCAAACACTAAAAATGGAACAATGTGAAAAATCTGTTTAACTAGTTTTTTTTTTATTTAACCAGGAAAAATCCCATTGAGATTAAGAACCTCTTTTTCAACGGAGTCCTGGCCAAGATGCAGGGAAGTTACACATGAACACAACAGACAGATAATATTACATTAAAAATGACAGGTACAGACTACACACATCAAGTAAAACATTTACAGGTAATTGAATTCCTTGCTCTAAAAATACCTCCAGGTTTCAGGAGTAATAATTGCATGCACTTTTTTCACTACGTTTATATCTAAATGTTTGTGAAACGTGAAAAAACAGTTACTAACACACTTTGCCAAGTTAAAAAACAATTGTGCTGTGGATAGAGGTCCCATATAGCTAGTTAATTGTCTTTCGAAACAAAGTCCTCGGTCAATCAAGCCTTTTCATTAGTAACAAATCAGCAACACTATTCACACACTAAGGACTCTTTATCACAATTTGGCAATATTGTTGGTAAATTGGGCAGTCCTACAAAAGAGTCACACAGAAGCTTGTACTCTGAACAAGCAAACAGCTGCCCAAGTCCTTACTCCAAATGTGAAAAAGCAAAGTAATATCTTCCATGACAAACTGTGGGAGGACAGGCAGCCCTTAGTGTTATGAATGTCTACAGGCAAATGTGTGCATGTACGTGTTGTTGATGCGTGCTTCGGTTCAGTGCTGGCGCTGGGGCTGAGATAATTAGGCTGCCTGCAGGCTAGAGAAATCATCTGTACAAAAACATCATGTAGGGTTCCCAAGTGAAGCGAGAGCGCAACCTTTTGTGAACACATTCCTCAGTCATTCAGAGAGACGCAGACATAGAGGAAGTGAGGGAGCCCGGCAAGAGGGATTTTCTCCACATTTTTAGCAGCAGGTTTTTATTGAGGAAAGTCAGGACAAGGAAATTTGAAAGGAAGAAGTTACGAGTTTTGAGAGGACTGAATTAAACTTTGTTGGGGTTGTCTGATTGTGGCAAAGGAAAACAATGTTTGTCACAGAAGACAGAAGACGCTTTTGACAAACAAGCTTGAAAACGACAGCAAGTTTTACTTTCAACCCAAGCAAAAAATTGTGATTAAGACCAGACTCCACCCATTTCCTCAGGTGAGTCCACTTTTAACATGAAGATTTGAGGAAATGGGTGGAATTAAACCCAACACCTTATTTGCAGTGAAGTACGAGCGCCAACCGTGGCAACCCTCTTTGGGAAAGAGGTTTAGATAAATTCCCGTCTGTGCGTTTGCCCCTCTTTCTTTTTCATTACCAGTAACAAGACAACCAGGAAAAAACCATTCAAGTGGTAAAAAAGCAGCGAAAAGGTGATTTTTCATATGTCCTTTAACTGTACAGCATGGGCTGAAAGTCAGATAACTTTTGGCCTTCCACCAGACTTGTCTCTCTCCTTTTTCCCCAGACTAAAAGTGTCAAGCGTTAAGCACTACTGCTGCCTTCCTGCAGCCCCAAGGTGCATATTTTTACCGTGTGATCAAAAGTGTCTGAAGTTGAAGAGGCTTTTTTATTTTACTACCGGCAGCACTTACCCTAATGCCCTGGGATTGCGGTTGACAGCGTGCAGCTATTAAAGCCATTATTTGTTTCAATAATTAAAGCATATATTTGTACTGATTCACTCCAGTCTGTTGTGTTTGGAATAAAGACTGTAGTTGTAGGGATGTGATCATCAAATCAGTTATAAGGATAGATACGGCAGGTGCAGAGAGGGATGCAAAGGAAATATATTTACCAGAGGGATGGCCGTGTAGCTCGCCTCAGAAGGAAACGTGAACACTGTCGCCGTGGTGACAGGACTGCTTGGGGGCGGGGTTACAATGAGGCCAGTTGTGCAAATGTGAACCTGAAAAAACAAGAGAAAAAAAATCAGGTTTTTTCCCTACGTAGTAATTTGTTTTGCTCCTGTTCAGACATGTTATGAAGGCAGCGTTAAATACAGGGGCCGCTACCTTAAAACAAAAAGACAGCTTCAAATTTGAGATGAGAGGACAAACGGCAAAAAGGACAAAAACGCTTGAATTACTAGCATATGAAGAAGGTGTAAGAACCTATTATTATTAACAATGAAAACATAGAAATTGAATAGAGCTTGTCCCTTCCCTCTGTGTACTGTACTACTTAGTTTGTAAATGTATCGACTTTGAAAACAAATATGAACACCAGCCTCCTACTTTTACAAGTGTCATCTCATGCATAGTTCCAACACCAGATAGATGTTTCCTTTTTAAAATGCGACCTCCCTAGATATTCAACATTTAATTACAATATACTTGCCAATGATCTTTCCACAGTGACCTGACACTCTGAGGGCAAGAATCAGGTGACTGTGGAGCAGAACATTTGAATGGTTAGGCATGGAGCTCTGGACAGGCAGTAAGTGAGCCACAGAGGTATCCTGGAAACAAGGCCTTAATGTGGGACACTCAATATCCCCCAAAAGCCAAAGGTTTGTCCAAGCACCACTGATCCATACAGGTGAAGCAAGAGGAATTCTATCTTGGCCTTGAAAATAATTCTGCGGTAGTAAAAATGACAGTAATGATAAGAAACCTATATATTTAAAGGTATATAGGAGGATTTTCTACTTCCGGGTGGATTATCAAGAAAGACTATTGGTCCTCATCATCAATCATTCTGGTGATACGTGCTCGTCAAACAAGACCAGAACGTTTTTGTTTTTTTTAAGTGAAGAAGGCGGTTCTCTCCTAAAATTTTGTAAAATTCTCCAATTGGCTTTAACTATTTGACAACAGTGTCTAGGGCTGTAGTTGTCCAAAGGAAATGATATTGTCTAAATGCATGTCCAGTCAATCTATTAAAAATGACTAAACAGGGGAAGTGGCACAAACTTTCAAAACTACATAACATGCAGTTGACCTAAACAGATTTTAGACATACAACACAATGACCAAAATTGTGAATTAAGAGTTCGTCCTGGATTTAATATTGACGCAAATACCAAAGTGAGTTATTTTCCTCCATGCATTCTGATTTTTGCAGTTTTCCCAAAGAAATGGGAATTAGTAGACATAAGAAACAAAAAATAAGAAACCATCAGCCGCTTAATCGTATAAACGACTAAAGCCCAACAGCACGAACGTATCTCCCACTTCAACAGATCCACACCGTTCCGTATGCACTACTCTGGTACAGATTATAGACATGTTCAGGCATATACAATGTTATTATGGAAACCCAAGATGTTTACAAGTGACTCCCTGAATGCTTTGGCATCGAGAAAAATTGTGTGTGTGTCGCAGAGATGGGAGTGGCACTGTTTTCAAGACAGACAGCTGAACCCTGAGGCAGCTGGGGTTTACCTTTGTTGTTTCTGTCTCTGGCGAAGAGTCGAGATGAAGAGCGAAACCAAAGATATTCTCCTATGTTTTATTAACCACAGTGAGATCCATATCAAAGACAATGAGAGGATTACTTACAGGTGCTGGAGCAAGACTCTTTAATTGTTAGAGCACATGGAGGGTTATCAGTCTGAGGCCATTAAATATGATTATAACCTCTGCACTAGACAAGAGTGTTCGTCTGCCTCAAGTGGTGTTGTTGGTGTGGTTAAACAAACTACATATCAGCATTAACTAAATGATTGTTTAGTGATCATTCTGAGCCTGAAACTTATTTACGTTATATTTCAAAAGCAGAGAAAACTTATAAAAACAGACATTTACAGTTTTAGTGAATGCTATGACTGATAATCGGTGATTTTGGGTCACCAATTATTTGCTAACTGAAAGAGCTTTCTTGAAAATGTTTAGTTGTAGCTCTTGAATGAATATAGAGATTAGGAGATCCTTTAATTGTCCAAAAGTAGAGACACTTCAGAAAACAGAACAGAATGTTTCATTACAGGTGGCACAAAAAATTAGAATATGATTGAAAAGTCAATTTACTGCTGGAATTAAACTTAATCTACAAAAAAATATCAAGCCTTTGTTATAATTTTAATAATTTTCTCACAGCTTGTATAAATCCTGATTAACATTTTGAAAATAGTCTGTATGAAAAAAATATCAAAATTATATCAAGGCCTTGGCTTATATCACTTTGCCTGTAATAAGTTTGTATAATATTGGTTTCAAGATGTTTTACAGAAATACATACACATTTGAACGATATTTTTAAAGTTTCAAGAGATGATTAAATGGAGAATTAATTGTTTAAGGACTACCGATCAGATCTAAAACCATCCAGAGCTCACTATACACAAACTACATACATCGTTATGTTACAAAGGTCTAAAAACGCACACTATTTTTCATAAAAACTTCTAAAAAAGGAACTTTGAGAACGAGCACTGGCATTACCATATTTCTGTCACTGTCTAATGCCTGCATGAGTCTGAGTCTGACCCCAGCATAGTCAAATAAACTCAAAATGAAAGGATCAGATAGAGGTAAGTCGGTTAGACAGTTGACCTTCGTCTGTCTGCCGTGGTTGTAAAGCAGCTGTCTTTTCTGTAATTCTGGGTTAGTGTGAGGAGAGTGGCATTCGCTTTCACGGACGAATGGAATCACGCAGGAAGGTAAATCTTCAAACGGTTCAGCATCACCTGCCGAGGAGGACATTTGTGAAACGTCTGATAAATAATTGGTGGTTAAAAAAAGGCAAAATAATTCTTGCTAACGCGCAAACAATCGTGCATCTTGTTCATGTATTGGTTGTCCCTTTGAGGTATGCAATTACACACCACTGAGCAGCAAAATGAGTCATGTGGTTAGAAGGCCTTTTAACCAGTTCACTGAGCTAAAGCCACAACATGCCTAGTAAAATGTCTATAAAGAGCAAGCCTTTAAAAAATCCTGAGCACTTTCATGTCTAACAAGCCAAATGTTACACAAATAGATAAAATGGAAATTAGCAGTTGGACTGAATGCACGATTGAGGAAATAAAGTTTCAGCATTTACCAGTGGTTTTAATTAGCACATAGTTGGGGGTTGTGCTGGCAGCAATTCAATGCATGTAAACTGGACTCATTCAAAATAAAAAGGTTCAATGCCACAATAATCTATATTAGTTCGTTGTTTATTTTGGTCTTGTGTTCCTTTCTATTGATACTTATTATTAATTGACATTACAGAAAAGGGGCAATCTGAAATACCATTTGATGACTATCAGCCATTTAATGTTAGAAATACAGCCAAATGCACAGTGGCATTATGAAACCCTAATCTGTATACATAAAACTGCTAATCTGATTAAAAGGCCTATAGTCTGAAGTGTGTGCATTCAGAAGGTGGTTACTCGTGAATGTCAACTGTTTAAGACGTAAATTGGAGTTTGCTTTAAGACTTGGGAGAGGTGATGTGATGTGATTTGGGAATTGTGTATCGCACATTACAATTCTTTTACACACTTTATTCCAACCTGCAGGTCTCTCATGTTTGAAGTTTTCCACCATTGAGCGAGTCTGATAAAGAAGGTAAAGTTCAGAGAGTTTGCATTCCCCTTCACACCTTCTGTCTGACTATCTTGTCTGTTGTAACTGAAATTACAAAGTGCAAGTCTACTATCAAAAACTCCTTTCAGTTACCCAACGTACTATACTTCAATAAGAACGACGTTAGAAGAAAGGAATGGGATATTTTCAGTATCCAGCAAGAGGCATGGTGTTGATGTTATTGTCATTTTGAAATATAGTCTCTTTAGTGCAAGATATTATGTATAATAAAATCCCAAGTGACTATTAGCAGTGCGAGTTTTTCAGTCCTGGTGCGGATCATTAAAATGTATTTTATTTTATTTTTTATACTTTCAGAAAGAGCGACTTGACCAAAGACTTTGAGATTCAGGTTTGTGAACATCTCTGACCTGCGATGGTGCGCTGCAGGACAGGCCGCCTGTGATCTCCCCGATGCGAGCAGCCGCAGTGGGGTTACTGGAGCTGATGAGGACCGGCCCGCTGATCTCCATGGAGTGCCTCTGCGGGGGTGGGGCCAGCATGGGTTTGTGGGACATGGTCAGAGAGGTGAAAGAATGTCGCTTCTTGCTGTTCTTCTTATCCCGCGGGGCCCCATTGGTCTGGGGCCCGGATGAGGCTCCCTCTCCAGAGTCCCCGCTGGAGTCTGGTTTGTCCAGCTCGATCAGCTGCCGCGCCGCTGAGTTGAACTGAGGAGAGAGGGTCAGGGGCAGAAAGAGGGAGAGTCAAAGGCACTTTCGCAGCCCAATCATACAACTGTACATGATGAAATGCATATGTGTGCTTCTCTCTATTGTGCTATGTGAAAGTAGATCAGCAGGGGGGATATTTCAAAGTTTATGGATAGTGCAATAACCATAATGTTCATTGTCAAACATGTTTTCCATTTTCCAGTTATATTTGCAACAGAAACTACTGATTAGAGGTTTACATCCCCCAGTTCTCAATAGCGTTCATTCTGACTTTAACATCGGTGACAGCTTTGAGTTTTTTGTGGTAGTTGTAGATGAAGTTCTTTATCTCTTCTCTAATGCTAAAGCTGCCCATTCTTCTTGGCATTAATCCTCCAGTTACTTCACATTTCTGTGCGGTTTTCATCAACTGCACATTTGAGATCTCCCCAGATTGGGACAATGAAATTAGAAAACCTGTTTTTTTTTCAATATAGATCTTAGCACAATGGTGTACATCAGCATCTACTCTATGTAACATGCAACTTCTCAATGATTGAGGGTATATATATATATAATAATTTAATCCACAGTAGTGTTCAGACGGCAGAAGCCTCGGTGTCAGGCGCGGCAACGTGTGACGGGAAGGTGAAAATCAAAGACACTGCACTCAAAAGACTCAGGCTAATCACAGGGCGCCCTCCTCGCACACTCTGCCGCGGGCCACTCCCTCTACTGCACTACTTCAAATATAAAAGGAGGTTTGAATCCCAGAGAATCCAACACAGGTCTGCGCGCCGCTGGGATTAGACGCAGATACAAGGTGAGAGGCATAAGCTCATTACCCTGAAGAGCATATTTAACGGCACTCGCAGATTACCGTCTCGCCAAGTCAAAAAGCAACAAAGACGAGGACAAAACTAAGCTGCTTCTGTGGTTTAGGGAAAGCGTGTAAGTGGATTCAAAGCTGTTTGAAAGGGTGCAATTAGAAAAAACAGAAAACAAAAAAGATAATTCACATGCCATTATCTCTCTGTAAGGAGTTGTTGTTTGGAAATAATGCATGCTTAGAGCTCGGTGAACATCCAATTTGATTTTTGGCACAGGCACACTACATTAATATCCAATAAAGCTTCTTACAAGCCAAGCAAATCTTCAAATTGCAAATGTTCTGAGGAGCATAAAAGGCATTCCAAAAAGAACTAAAAATTAAGTGTGTAATGAATGAACCTGAAGGGTCCAGACCAAAAAATAAATAAAAAAGTCTTCTTTGATATTACAAGAAATCTTAAAGAAGCAGGGTAATCCTAGTGCTGTATGGCTCAGGGGGAGGGACTGTCGATGAATAAAATGTTCAAAGACATGTTCAATGTTTTTATCAAATATTGAACACATCTCAGAGAAACCAAGTCTTACCTCAACGTATGAGATGGGGAAAATTCCAATTTTATCACCCAGCATTCCCTCGGCCCAGTTCTCATCCACTCTGCGGATCACCGTCAGGATATCGTCCTGGAATTTAGAAATAGACAATCTTGAAAAAAAAAGTCATGATGAATTAATTGCTTCAATAATATGATAAGGAGCAGCACTGAACTCTGGGAAAGTGTCTCAACCCTTTAGGCGCCAGTTTGTCAGAAATGTGATGTGAAACAGACAAAGGGTGGGGCTTTGAAATTTTACAAGAGATAGAGGAATACTAAAGGCAAGTACATAAATAAAGATGAGGACAATTTTTTAGGAAAGATGAAGGAAAACATTTGTGGAAGCCAGAGCGCTGCATAGAAAGCACAGTGGACTAAGCGGCTCAGAGTTGCAACTCGGCTACTTAAAGTTAACTTCTCCCAAGGGATGTTGAATCTTTTTAACGTTTTTTGTCCTCCCTGTCCCTTCACGTTACCAAAACAAGGAGAAATCCAATAAAAGTAGGGGCGTGTGAATTGTAGTACATCATTTAAATGTTATAAAAAATATTAGTGTAATGAAATTCAGACAAAATTCATAACCAAAAAGAACAGTATTTCTAGAATAATGACTTATCTCGAGCGTCATCGTTTGGCCTTAAGTAGATGTTGAATCCTGAACTCGCGACGTGGCAGTAAAGTCCAGACTTTGTTAAAACTTCACAGTTGCTCTACCACAGTCTGGTGGTTTGTCTATCACATTTAATTATAGACATTTATCAACACCGGCTCAAATCTAAACACTTTCTTGAGGTGTTCAAGCTCCCAACCCTGACATTTGCACAATAAAAACACATAACTTCACAAAATGAAGGTCTGTTTGACTTTAATGAGAGACACAACATCGACACGCAGCAGAAAAGGAGGAGCTAAGAGATAGTAGCAGAGCTTTGGAACATTTCATTGGAAAACCCTATTCTACCTATTTTGGAAGTTTTCACCATATTCATCATTGTATCAGTTTATCATTTGGATTCTAAACCTAACAGCAGATAAGTTGTTTCCAGACAATATAGCGTCTGGAAACAACTTTTCTTCAGGGGTTGGCCACAGTGTTGAATTGTCGCACATGAACAATGACAATGTAATACAAATCCTAATCACAAACTTGCTTCCAATAAAATGAATACGAGAGCATGCAGTATCTCAGAAATAGTGAGCTTTCAATTTTCTGGCCTGTAAACTTGATAGTTATACTAGCAACTTTTGCATGTTTGTGTTTTAGAAATAATAAATAGTGAAAATTATTTATGAAGAAGTAAATATATGGATGAACAACATGTGCTCGGCATGTAATTCCCCACCAGTGAGGAGTGTTGAATTTACTCTATTGTCAATATGAAATGGCCACATGGTTGTGCTGTGCAAGAAGTTCCTGATATTAACGTGGATTTAGATAAAAACAACTCCAGGTCTGTTTTTGATAAGGAACAATGTTAAATGATGAAAAGCTCCTAAAATGTTAAATATTACTCTTTTAAAGTGCAGTTTAAACAAAAAGGGCTCTGTGAGGGTAAGTCAACATTACACACCTGTTGGGAAACCTTGGTATAATCCGTACCTTTGAAAATGGTAGACAGTCTTTATCCGCCTCTTTGTCTTTGAGCTCAAAATCGTACAGAGCTTTGCATTGAGGCGGTGGTTGTGGCAGCGCCTTGATGACCTGGACAAAGTTGGTGGGGAAGAATCCATGGACTCCGCCCATCTCCCCGTGGAACCAATTCTCATCCACCTGCCGTCGCAGAATGATGACATCACCCTTGCTGAACTTGAGGTCACCTGGTTCTTTGCCATCGTAGTTGTAAAGAGCTTTGGCGCACGGGAGCTGAGGTGCACACTACAAAAACAAAAGGGAAGCAAAGAGTGAGTGGGAACATTCAATAGAAATGAAGACACTTGTCAAAACACAGCCTCTTGAGGCTCAAACCACAAGCAGAGCAGCAGCAGGGCAAGTTTCAAACTAGAGAAAGAAAACTTTGGGAAATATACTTTCATCAACTTTGGGTTGACAAGGGAAAATGGGGACAAATTTATACAAAATTGAACACCAACTACAGCACATAATAGTTGACAAAAAGCACTGAGGATGTGACCTGTGTAGTATTTATACAATGTTTAGATTGATAAAGTTGAAAATATATGTTGTAATGAACAATGGAACATGGAAATAATAATGCATTGGTTTTATATAGCACTTTTTTGGACACTCAGACACTTCACATGTCATTATTCTTTCACTCTATATACGATGGTAATAAACTACTACTGTAGCCATAGCTGCCCTGGGGCACAGTGACGGCTAAGCCCTCAAATAAGCTGTGCTCCCTCCTCAAGAGTATGGAATTTTTTTTGCACTTAATTGCACATTGCGTGTCCTGTTAAAAGATGGCATCAAGGAGACGTTTTTCAAAATCTTTATGCAATTGAACATTTCGAATGTGGCTTATAAGCTACATGTTTTTATTTGTGAAGCCCTAGCTCAATCTTTGTGCCACAGAAGCAGAGATTAGCTGCATTAGCAGTCCTGTCACTGCCTAATCGAGCGCACAATAAATCACTTGATGTCCTGACACTTCAAAAAACAACTGCGCACAATTAAGCCTCTGTGTGATTAGCAAGAGTTTCAGAGCCTTTTTATATCTGCTGCAATCGTTCAAAGATGTGCGGCTCTGTGTTGACAGTTGAGGGCTGATGAGCTGCTCTGGTTGTGACTAGCTGACTAACGCCTTCACTGGCCCCGCGGCTCTGCTCCTTTATTTGAGAGTGGACCCCTGAAAGACCCATTCAGTGTAGTGACAATCCCGGGAAAGAGGGAGCATGGGTAGGGGGAGTTGCAGGATAGACAAGCATCAATGTTGTCCATTCAGGAAGAGTGTCCATGAAGAAGGCTTGGGTCCAAAGTAGTCCCCACTGTTTGTACCACAGACATCCTTAGAGTGAGCGGAATCACAAGCACCAGCACCTGACGAAGGCACAACTGCAGTCACATATCAGAAGCAAGCATCTCCTGAGATAGGATAAACCGTTTTGCTCAGTGATAAGGTTCATGAAGTAAATCCTTTGATTCCATTTTCTAAATAGTTGGGACTTGAAAAAGAAGCCAGTCAGTATGAATTGTATACTTTTATATTGCATTCTTGTATACTTTTATATTGTGTTTTAAGGACTGCTACATTTCACACATTCAAATAGGGTACACACAAGGCAATCGCCACGCCAAACTGGACAACTGCCCAGTACATACCCTTTACTTCTAGTTCTGCCCCTAAACTCAATGGTGCTGGTGAAATATCAGTGAGAGAAACACTGGTGCTGTCTTCAAAGTGACCATATTTGTGGTCTAAGCTCTGCATATACCCTGATAATAGTAATCCAGAAAAAAAAATTGCAGATTGTGTTTACTTTGACATGAGGAAGTGAACTTGAAGCCTATATCCCCAGAGACAAAAGGTGACACGGTGGAGGCCAGGGACAGAAAGTGAGAGCAACGAACACAGATTTTGGAGCAGTCTGCCCAGTCCTGTTAAAGTCTAATGAAGCATTTAAAGAGCAAAAGAAGAAAAGTGGTGCAAGGCAGTGATTCTGAGCCAGACTGACATGAGCCCTTTGCACACAGCCTCGGGCAGACATTTTCAGACTATCACACCAAGACCCACCTCTCCAATGTCTGACCTTCAAGTTCTAACTAATGCACTAATTAACAGATCTTGTAATTTAGGACTGAAACACAACTGAACTTTTACTCAAATACTCTCTTCAGATGTTCAAATTTGACCCTTTCCCGAAAAATAACAGATTTTAGTTTTATGAATTCCAAGGAATAACAGTGAAGTACTCACATCGGTATTTGGTATTCCTTGGCAAGTACTCAAATCAAGAAACTCGTTTTTGTATCTGTTTTGAAAAAAGTGGTATCGGTGCATCTATTAACTATACAATTTTAACTGCTCTACAGAAAAAAGGGTAGCGTTTGGCCAAAAATAACATTGTTTCATAGAACAAGGACGCTTTGGGTAAGCTGCCACCTACAACGCAAAAGGCAATGCGAATAACCAAAGGCATCGCAGAGTTATCGTTTTGAGCTGTTGGTACTGAATAAGTAGTTCATTTAAGCCCGAGAACACTTTGATATTTGTAACCAACATATAAAACACTAAAAGCAGCAAAAAGCACATTGAGCAGTACAGTTCAAATGTTCAAGCATTTCCAATCTGATATATATTTTCATACCCTAACCCAAGGTAACCCTAACCCAAGGTAATAAAATGTAATAAAATAAAATCGTAGATTCAGAGGCTGAATCGTGACTCAAGATTCCCACCGCTACTAAAACCCCTGCATAATAGTCGACTTTATACTTATTTTGGTCAACAAGAATGTAATTGACAAATCAACTGAACAACCAAAGCTAAACAACCATTGATGTGAATTTATATGACAAAGAACAATATTTAAAGTGTAGCCCCACTCCCCAATTCAGTCTTTGCACCACTGTTCCGATTGTCTGTTCTATGACAACCATAGGACTGGTGACAGAAGGAGCCCAGGCCCCAGCACACTGCACCGGAGCTGGGCCTCTCTTTCAGGTCAAGGGGTGGAGGAGTGTGGAGGGCTGCTAATGCTAATGAATGCACAACCATTTGTTACCAGTGACACCTCGAGTTCACAGAATCAATAGGATCTGATTACATGGTGAATATAAAACGCTTGTCTGCCTCGCACTGTGCAAATGGAAGTGGCTGCTTGTACGCTCACTTAATGTTTTATTATTACTGGGATACAATGTATAACGTCCAAAGTCAGGGTGGTTATGTAATAGCATTTGAATGTGTCGGAAGTGGTTGGACACATAAAAATGTGCTAAAACAAATTAAATCCCACCAAAGGCATAAATAAAACACTTCCCACTACAAGCCATCTGAAGATACAAGACGAACAAATGATTATCAATTCTTGCAATCATTACGACTAGCACTTTATTTTCAAATGAAATAAAAATGCTTTCCACCTCAGTCACACAGTTTCAATCTAATATCTATAGTCTTGTTCAGTGAGTTAATCTTGACATAGGTGAGTATTTTTACAGCTCTGTATACGACAAAGCAATTTAAAAAGTAAAGGTTGGAGATGGCTGGAGGGCACAGATCCCAGTTTTTCTGCCACTGCAGTGAATAGTCTTCGTCCTGACCAAAAACAAAGTGGCACAAATGCATAAAGCTGATAAATGAACTCAAGAGCTATTTATACTTGCCGTTATCTGCATTTCTTTGATGCTGCAGAGACTGGAATAATGTTTTATGACAAAGAGCTCATTCTGTGGTTAAATTTAGAAAGTAAAACATATGGCAGACATTACACCACTTTATCAAGTGTCGATTGGGCATGGGACAATGGGACCAACAAATGGGCAAAACGGTGATTGTTATGCGTGTACTGTCACATCAATAATTGTTAAGTCTTAAAAACGATCAATGCTTTAACATGTATAGAGAAATAATCAAATCTTGAAAAAACACCAGTTTTAAAGCAGTATTCTTAGTTTGGCAATTCCTTCCTGAAAACATTGGACTGGTAGAATGTTACTATAAGGCTACATCAGAAGTAAACAAATTATTCAAGCTAATTGCTACTTTGGCTCAAAGAAGATCCCACTGTGTGCGTGTGGGAACCATGTATTTTCATTCTACAGAAAAACAAGAGAAGGAGGAAAAAAGGCAATTAGTCTGGCCACCTGCAAATCTACCAACAATATGCTTAAGTTTCATACTATATTAGAACTGCATCATTGCCTTGTAGACACAATAGACTACAAAGCCCAAGTTGTATAGTCAGCGACTATATCATTTAGCATGAAGCCAAACAGCCAGACGTATAAGGATTACAGCGAGGGTATTATGTGGTGGTCTATCCATGTGAGAATAAGACCTCTCATGCTCCCTAAACCACTCTTTCAACATGGTCTTTAAGTATTCAGGAAGTCACATGACATCTTTCCTTTAGCTGATTTTTTTGGCCCAAAAGCAGCAACCTCTTCCCTGAGTTAAATCCAGGTGGTGACTTCTGCCCAGTGCTTTTGGCCTGGGTTGTGACAGAGCCCCATGTGGGTGTGCAGGCTCAGCCGGTGAGTGGAGTCTCTCCTGTATTGCAGTTAATGCATTTAGAGCTGTGTGCTAAAGGGATTTGGCTGCCAGGGCTGTCTTCACAGTCTCAGATTAGAAGTGAATTACAGAGCATTCAGCAGCGAGCCAGACACCAAGCAGCCATGCACCGACAATCAACAACTGGCAAAGCAAGTCTAATGAAGGTGCAAGAAGGGGACAGCAGCATACGGACCATTTTATTTTATTTAAACCATTACATTGAATTTAAACAAAACAGATCAGAACCTGCCATCTGCCTTAGAAAACATTTCCTATTTTGCAGAAATTATCGGTTGAGAGTCTTGTTGCCTTAGGTTAAGTTATGGGTAAGGGATATGGAAAGAATTGCTATATACATAGGTTTTGATAACTTGTAACATACTAAATCACCGCCCTTGAACTAGAATAAGACTTGTGATAAGTCAGAGGTGAAACTTTGCTCTAAAGTCTTGAATGCAGGACAATACAGGATTACTCAAACATGTCAATCCATCAAAATTCCAAACTAAACTAAACAAAGTCATAAAATTCACTTTATACAATATGTGCCCCATAAAACATGAGTACACTAATTTGCACAATAAGTGATTCAAAAGACCCAGCCCACAATTCAATAACAGTGAATAATAATAAATTATAGTTGTAGTTAACCTTTGGCCCATCAGCAGTCTGATGGTTGCGTGTTAGACAAAAGCCT